CGGCTCGTATATTGGCAAAGCACCGAGTGTAATACTTGAACTCGAAGAAATCGTACTTGCCCTCTTGAAGCCCAGTTTGACTGAAACTCGTAGTGATTGGCTGACACTAAGCTGCAATTACTGCATCGAGCATTTCCATCGTATCTTGGGTGTGAATCGTGTATGCAATGGATGGATGTACATGCGCAACGTGGAAGAGGGCTGAGTTCGGACCCCAGGCGTGGACTTTCCTGAAATTCGAATTTTGGACACACCATGCTTATCCCCTGCCGCACTAAATCGCCTCAAACCTTTTGCATTAGGTGGCAACATAACCTAGGTATATGGCGGCAGCATAGTTAGGCTGCAATACAACTACCTCGCGCAGAGGTCGGGTCGCGTGTGAAGCTCGCTCCCTGATTTTGGAGCTGCTGCATGGTCGTACGCTCTAGCTAAAGTCCAACTTTTTCACCCTACCGTGAGCAACTGGACATATAAAACATACCCTGGTGTGCCCTGGTATCTTATTTACATACCTCTTCTTAAATCTGGACAGTTTATGCCCTCGTTCGCCCTCAAGAGCCGGTGCTAGGTGTGGAGGTCTGTTGCCAAGCGAGCCGCCTGATCATAGGGGTTTCCACAAGGGGCTGCTTTCCCGTTGGAAGCGTTATTCAGCGTACTTACTTTTTTTTCTTCTGTCGTGCAGCACTGTCAGAAACATGTGGCCCCGCATATGTAAAAATAGGGGGGGTATTGTTTTCCACCATTCGACCCCCCCCAGAAAATGTGCTTCAGCACCTGTAGATCCTGGATCATTAACAGCGGTCTGCTGCAGCCGCACACTGCGTTTTTTTTTGTTTTCTTTCCTCCCATCATTGAATTCTGTCGTCTGCCCCTCTGGCCCCTATCCTCCACTTCTACCAGCTTAGACGACCCAACCGGGGTCACATGGGAGGGGGGTGTTGGACCCCCTCCTGCGGTTTCTGCCTGAGATGTTTTTATCGCGAGAAGGGTACAGCAATCCCTTCCCTCGCGACTTATGAAGTCGATCAAGTTTACTAACAACGAGCTTTGCAGCGCGTCGCTTCCAACGGAGACCAGGATTTAATTAGCGAGAAAAAACTCACTCTGTCGAGACTCGAACCAAAGACCTGGCCCTTAGCAGGCTGCGAGGCTACCCACTAGACCACTGGGGCGACCGGTGCAGCGTGTGGGTGTATGGAAAGATTCATTCCATCTGCTAGGCCAGTCGTGCATCGATCTACGATTTCAGAGGGCGAGGTTCGCTCTCGGCTCGAAGATGTCCGCTCTTCCTTGTTGTACGCACATGGAAGAGACGGCGAGCACACCGAAACAGCGTGCCTTCTTTCGAAGACTGTGCATTCGTTTACTCATGAAACTCAGGTCAAGCGAAGAGCAAAGGAGGGGGGGAAGGTGCAGGCGACTCTTCGGAATATGTGGCGGGTGTAGTTTTTGGTTTCGAGAGCAAAGCACTTTATTGCCAACGTTCGTTGCTTGCCTTGGGTGATCTCTCGTGAGGTTGAATTTGGCGTTTGTGTTGTGTTGTGCCTCGTTTTGACCTTTTGGGAGGCGCGGTGTCCTCGTTCTCGCTGTGCTTTCCCGACATTTTTGGTCTCTGTTTTCCTGCGTAAGCTACATTTTCCTAGTGTCGTTTTACAACCTTCGATATTTCTCAGGTGCGGTAGCGAGATCTTGGGCAAGATACTCACGGGGAGGACAACGCCTAAAAATAAAAATATAGCAAAAATTAAGCCCATATCAACACCAGCGCACCACCGTCGTGTACATGTACGATNCTCGCTGTGCTTTCCCGACATTTTTGGTCTCTGTTTTCCTGCGTAAGCTACATTTTCCTAGTGTCGTTTTACAACCTTCGATATTTCTCAGGTGCGGTAGCGAGATCTTGGGCAAGATACTCACGGGGAGGACAACGCCTAAAAATAAAAATATAGCAAAAATTAAGCCCATATCAACACCAGCGCACCACCGTCGTGTACATGTACGATGCGTAGGTCGTAGAACACCATCGCTTTCAGCGTTTTGGTGGTACGATACGGGGAAATTCAGACGATGGTATGCAAGTATGTATTGCAGCACAAAAGCAGCAGTGGTTGCGACCTTCAAATCACCTTGTGTCGAAGGTTTCAAACAACACCTCTTGTGGTCGCCTTTCTGCTGCGAATGCGCACCTTTTGACATATGTTTCGCCTTCATTGGCCCCGGGGATGGTGCGTTAGTGGCCCCGGAATTTTAAAGACACTTCCCCGCGATAAAGACACTTTTTTTTGGGAAAACGTGGTGTGTCTGTAAAGCGGGGTCGACTGTATCCAAACAATAGCAAGCATGGAACGTGGCGCACAAGCCCTCCCCGTCAAGATCTCCACACATCCGCCCCGAGTCAAGCTCTGAGCAATGACTTCAAGCACCGACCGGAGCCCGTGTTGTTTGATCATCTTACCCACACATGTACCACATTTACATTGCTGAGCTGCGTGATCATGGGGGGGTTTATTTTATAGCGTGGAGGCCTCGTCGGGGATGGGGTCTGCGGAAAAATATGCTCGAACTCGTATTTTCACAACCCTCCCCTGTCTCTTGTTATATACTACTCCGTAGTAGTGAAGTACTTGCAATCACGGGCAGGTGCCATGTGGCCATCCCGATTGCTGACGATTGCACGAGCGTGATACTGCTGCCGCTGTACAACTCTGGTAGGTCGTGAACACTTCACTATGAGTGTATGTATCCCTTGACTATCGTGCATTCTCATCCGCGCGTAGAGTCGCAGCAGTTCGTTTGGAGTTTTTTTTGTGATAAATTTTGGCAGCCTGTGGCGTCGTCATTCGTTCGCTCAATTCTCGCACGCGGGATTCGTCCCATTTCTCTCATCTATCTGGCGCCGGTCTACACACCTCTCGGTGTTACATGGGTTGCACACACAGGAGGAAAATCACGTCGGTACATTGGTCATCTCTTCTTTTTACGTTCATCTCTTCTTCGTACGTTTGCTTGTGGTCGTGTTTCGTGGGTAAGTATATTTCTTGTTGTGCCGACCCCCCCGTCCCTCACACGAAAGGTGTACGCCGATACTCGCCGCTCTTTTTGCGGTTCTAGAAGGGTGTGTCGTGCGAGTCAAAAATGGAAAATATTCATGTCAGCTCACAGCTTCTCTCCAGCTTGGGAGCAATGTTACTCACTACTTACACCCGAACAACAGGGATACCACCATCCTCGCTTCTACTTCCCGTCTCACACGCGTATCCAATCTCGCCTGGACAGGTCCAGTACATCGCGGGAGGAGCAACCCAGAACAGCATCCGCGTGGCGCAGTGGATGCTCCCGGAACCGGGTTTGACCGGCTTTATGGGTTCTATCGGCTCCGACGAGTTTGGCGGCAAGCTGGCGGCGTGAGTGCCTGCCTTGCAACTTTGAACCTACATTGTATGCATTCCAAGTTCTGATAGTTGTGTTTCTTGATTTTCAGTTGATTTGAAGTGAAGACAACAAGACAAAAAAAATGTTTGATATCGTTTTCGAAGATTGTGGTGTTCAGTGGTGGGACTCTCTGCCTCTCCCGCTGCATCTTGAACGTCAAAACCTGGCACATATCTGCTCGGGAGAAAGACCTGCATCTCCAAAAGCTTACCCTGCGCACCTCTCCGCAGACAAAACCCAACCCTGGCATCATTACAATCTACACATTACTTTATTCAACCTAATAGCGTAGCAACACCGGCAAGCAAACGCAGACCAACCCAACGGCCGGCATCTCTACAATTTCCCCGGCCACACGTTTTACAACCTCTCGTCAAAAACTCTATCGAGACCAGCGAAGCACACGCAGACCGACCCAACCCCGGCACCTCTACAACTGTTTCACCCCCAAACGCATCAGCACCAGGAAAGCGAACTCCATCCCCTGCGAACTCCCTCCCCCTCCCTTGGCTTCTTGCTTGCTGCACACACACGGCGCGGCGGTGTCCGTTGCCGCGACAGCTGCGCCTCCGAGGACGGCGTGGAGGCCCACTACTACGTCGACCAGGCCACCCCGACGGGCACCTGCGCGGTGCTCGTCAACTCCGGGGACCGCTCCCTCGTGGCCAACCTCGCGGCGGCGAACAAGTTCGCCCCTGCCCACCTGGAGACGGAGAAGGCCAAGGCCATGGTGGACTCGGCCAAGTTTTTCTACATCGCGGGGTTCTTCTTGACGGTGTCTGTGGACTCCATACTGGCGATCGCCAAGCCCGCCGCGGAGAGCGGAAAGGTGAGGGGGGGGGGGGGG